TTTCAACCAGACCTGCGCTTAGGTTTTCCGAGCTATAAGCTGCCCACTTTCCATACAAAAACATCATACATTTCTCTGCCCTATTAAGGAACCATCGAACAGTGCTCGGCCAATTTTCTAAGAACAATGAACAAACGTTTTTAAAACTGGTAGGCACGCTGCGCCCGAAAAAGGAATTTGAGAAAAACGTGACTTGATGTCAGACAATAACATGAAAGAATATCTTTCCACATGCCTCCAGACTACGAGTTTAAATTTAACGGGGAATTGGTTTATGAGTGGAAGAATGTACGCCACTTTAGTATGCATTTTTATCGGGAAGAAGTAACGCAGGAGAACGTCATCAAGCCTCTTCCGAAACCCGCATCTCGTTATGATAGAAATATTTTGAGATTGTGTTGCACGAAAGTCACTTATACGACTTATCGAAGCAATTTTTTACACGACAAACCGTATTTCAGAATTTCGGCGAAAATTTCATGAGATGTATCAGGTAATCCACGTCTCAGAATTTGCGTCTCTGTTAGATCTGTAACAACAGTCTACAGAAAAGTGGTCAAGACTAAAGCCACTGCAAAAGAAGGTGTCGCGAAACCGCAACGGTATTGAGGTGACCCATAGTAGGTTAGCATTATTCTAGAGAGAACTCTGGTAATGTTGTGGCACTAAAGAGGTCATTGTGAGAGCACCTAAATTACATAGTAGGCCGTACGCTGTTTTTTGTCAGTACGGCTGCATAACGGCCTAAATGTCTGCAAGCGTTTGGTAAGCCAGAATCGGCAAAGCGTGGCCCTCGCAGCCTGATATGCACCGGAAGTTCTCTGACGTCTGGCTCCCTGCCGGTAGATAGATTTGCGCTTCCGTTAGGTTTACCGGTGGTGGGCTTGGCTGCCCAGTCGTTCTCGTCTTCCTGATCCGTTGTGGTGTTGGTTTTATTAGTTGAAATCCTGGTCAGGTGTTATGTGGACTAGGGGACGTGGAGGGGAGCGCCAAGGTGCAAGCTCGGCTGCGCTGCCCACCTAGGCCTCCCCCCGCATCCGACCTTCTCTACTCCGTATGGACACGGGAGCGGGGGGAACCAGGTGGGGAGGAGAAGACAGTCCGGTATGTACAACGCAGGTTTACACTCCCTATAAACTGATACGCACGCAAGACACCGTGCCTATCCCACCTTGCTATGGAGCACACGGTGGACATCGTCGACGACGACGACGACGGTCAAACTGTCAAGTTCAGACTACATACTGCGCTGCAAATGCATTGGAGAGAAGCAGTCGTCAACTCATCCCACGGCGCGTTTTCATAAGACATCACTCGGTTTGCACGAATCTATAATTACTACCATACATATCGGGAATGTGGTGACGACTCCAAACGTAGGACTCACAACACACCGCACCAGCCACTCTGAACAATCCTGTCACCAGCTAGGGCTCGCGCAGTCAATTAGCAAGCGGAAGAGGGGAGGGGAGTAAGCTTGGCACAGCAGACTTCACCCTCACGACATGCTAGCACATTCCTCACTCTAGTTAATCTGGCGGGCTTGAAGCTGCTACGGGTCGCCGTAGAGTCTTGACTTGGAAAACTGCCGATTGACGGAATGGCTGGACCCCTCCCTATGCTGGAAGTGGGGTTGAATGGCCCCTTCTTAATAGGGCATTTGTGTTGCCACCACGGATGCTGGCTCCGAGCCTTCAACACGAAAGCCCGGTGTACTGCATTAGATATGCTAACGCATGAAATGTCATCCAAAATTTCGAAATGCGTTCTCGCTTCGAAAAGATAAATTAAGTTGCATTGTAAAACTGATCATGATGCAGCATAAATCTATAATGATCCAGTTACCTCAGGGTGTCGGCTTTCGAAAAAACGTATGTTTACCTGAATGCAAGATCTTTACTCTGCAAAAAATGACTACTTATTTAGTATGCAATTTTCTCATTGATCTTCGATGCTCTTGAAAATTCAATTATATTTCATGGAAAACATGCATAAAAATATTCATTCTTTTACTTATTCGGTAGAAAATCACGCATTCTTCTAATTTCATACTCAAAAGAAGAGTATAATTCGGTTTTTAAAAAGTTTCTAATTGTAAGATCTTTTAATATCGTTAAATGGCCGTTCATGAAACGTCATGTATCTGCATTTACGAATGTGGCTTGTTAATTTAACATTATTGCTCAAAACCACTTCCTACTTTTATTAACCTTATATAATCTCCTCTTAACACCGTAGAGAAATGCACGGTTTTCCGTGCGCGGAAACTACACAGCGTGTAGTTTTGAAACCCTGAATGCAAGTGTAACAGCAGGTCGGATTCAAAATTATTCGGAAATTGGAAAAGTTTTTTTAAACGGAACTTTTCTCTATTTTTGAGTATGAAATTGGAAGAATGCGTGATGAATATTTTTATGCATGTTTTCCATGAAATATAATTGAATTTTCAAGGGCATCGAAAATCAATGGGGAACATGCATACTAAATAAGTAGTCATTTTTACAGAGTATAGATCTTGCATGCAGCCGAAAATAAGTTCTTTCGAAAGCCGACACCTGAGGTAACTGGATCATCATAGATTTATGCTACATCTTAATTAGTTTTACAACACTACTTAATTTATCTTTTCGAAAGGAGAACGCATTTCGATAGTTTGGTTGACATTTCATGAGTTAGCACATCTTCTGTATGTGGAACCGGATCGTGTGCGGCAAGCGCAGACCGTCTCTTCTACTCTGTCAGCCACTGCCCACGGCCCTCGCCCACATCTTGACAACGTTTCAGTATGGGCGACTCATAGGAGAATGTGGTAGAGGATACACGAGGCTGTCTCAGTAAAATCAACTTAATGTGCCAATCACACTTGCTGTGCCCTGTCTGTCCGTAAGGCGTTGGATGTCGGGACTCACGTGGACGAACTGTCTTATGTGTGCATGATGAGAGGTGTACAGTTTAACGATACACGGTGTACGACTGACATGCCGTTTCATGAGGTTGCTGCAAGCGGTGATTCCTCCGAACTCTTCTTAACTGACTACCAGGTCTCATCTGTACTTCAACAGTTGGAATTTACTAAGCCTAAACAGACCACTAACTTGTGCAATAATTTACCGTACTAACAACACAGGTATTAGCTAAAAGCCCAGACACGCGTGTTTCGCCGATCTTGTGCCGCTGCCTGACGCAGCTGCGAGGGGTTCGGCTCGTCAGTGGGTCCCCCAGCTTTCCCCGTGTGTTTTCTGGTATATGAACTCCAGTTTCAACTTGCCTTGTTTAATTTCCGAGGAAATTAATGCGCG